AACGTTTTATTTATTTATTTATTTGTATGAAAACCTAACTTTGAATGCGGTCAAAAATATTGCCGACAGCATATACATGTTATGTTGATTGTGTCTTGATTAGGTATACTGATTGAGATGTCTTAACTAATCGTAATTGGAGGAATAAGTAGGGTTATATGATTTAACTTGTTCCTCTTTTGAGAGATTTATGGCTCAAACTATTCAGAATCAAATGCTTGAAATCCAATAAATCTTAGAGTTTACTCTTTCAAAAGTTATAAAAAGTTGAAATTAAAGCTAAGAAAGATCACATCGTCAACTTTAACTTGGGGTGGATTGTAATTGAAATATTCTGTAACGCTGAGTTTGATTGGTTAACTATTACAATTATTCATGTTGTACGTATTTACCCAGAGTGAAATGTTTCCTATTAGTAATGAAATGAAATCAAAATAACTAATAAGTTCGGTTTGTTTGTCATGATAAAGTGAAAATATTTCATAGTACAATTCTTGCGAGGGAATAAATATTGTAGCCCATCTTCTCTAGCTGATTTCCGAGCAGCCACCGGAGAGCCACAAGTTGAAATTATAAGAGTGTTGTGGGACGGACCCAGGCACTCATGCATAGGCGAAATCCGACTAGGGCGCAGACAACGATAAGAAGGAAAACTTAAATCAACAATTTAATTATTTTCTTTTTAGTTGAGATTGAAAATTTTCTCTGATATCAATTTCCCTCTATATATTTTCATTTAAAAAGAAATTGTACATATCTGTACTTTTCTCATAGAAGGATACAAATATAGGTGGCGACACCCACCTGTAGAACCGTAAGTCGTTATTTTGCATTCAACGCATTTTGTGTACTCTTGTTCTGTGGTGAAATCAGCTCTATTTTTTTTTTCTGTTCTTTAATTTCAGCCATTTTACTTACTGTTCATATATGAGAGGTTAACTTTGATAAGGCCATAGAATCCTAAGTCATTATTTTTTATTCAATACATTTTTTGTACTCTTGTTAGTCTCTATCACCGTAGTAATATAGCTCTTCTATATTAAGAGTGCATCACTCTAAATTTTTTAGAGTTAAATTTATGAATAGTCCCTAAACTTTTCACTCTTTAGATTTAGTCATTATAGTTAACTTTGTCTTATAAATAATCTCCAAACTTATAAAAAGAGTCTCATAATGGTCCTTCTGTTAAATTTTAGATGGAAATCGTTAACTTTGTCTCATAAAATGTCCCTAAACTGTTTTCTCTTTCAAAAAATAGTATCTACATTAAAAGTTGTACTAAATTTAGTCCTTGAAAACATTAAGTAGATAGAAAACATTAAATATAAGAAGTTGTTCCAAATTTAGTTCTAAAAGTAAAAAAAAAATACGAAAATTATTTTTTGGATACACATATTTGTCTTTTTTTAATCTATTTATTTACACACATGGCGTTGATATTTTTTTTGAGTGATTATATTTACCCTACAGTATTAATAAATATTCTCATATTATTATTATTAGATATTTATGAAAATATACGTCTTTAAAGTTATTATTATATGATAATAATTATAACATTAACAAAGTATACTTATAATAAACTTTTTGAGTTTAAGGACAATTCATGAGACAGAATTGACTATAGGGACTAATTATAAAAAGAAAAAAAATTCAGAGACTATTCATGGATTTAACTCAATTTTTTATTAGTACTAGTTATTGCCACGTGCTTCACACGTTGGAGTAATTTTATAGATTCTATCCACATGTCAAAGTTTTGATTTTAACATATTATTATTTTTTTAGTTTTTTTTAGTAGTAAAGGTTTTGATTGACTCTTAATAAACAGTTAATACTAACATTATATTTGATATTAAGAAAAAACTTGGAGAAATTTTAAAGTATAAAATAATTATTATATTGTTTAATGTAGATAAAATTAAGAGCAAAATAATTGAAAATTTTATTTAACTATTTCTAAATATTTTCAATTTCTAGAAAGAAACAAAACAGAGAAAGAATGTTAGGTATAACATAATTGTTTTTCCATTAGTTCTACTCACTCATTTGGCATAAAGTATAATATTATGAAAAAAATAATATTTTAGAGGATGATAAGAATTTTTTTTTAATGAGAATGTACTTTAAAAGTATTGTAGAAAGTGGAACAAATAAAAGAAAAAAATATATTTTTGATAAAGTAGATTTTTAAACATTCAGCAGAAAATGAGCAAATTTTAAAACATCGAGAAAAAAAGGTAGGGAAAAATGACTCAACAAACTTCAAAACGATTTTAGGAGATAAGAAAAAGTAAAGGACACAAAAGACTAAAAAAGACGGAAAAAAGCAAAATAATAATTATAATTATAATAATAATAATAATAATAAATTAAACAACTCAATCCGCCACTAAACAATTCCAGTAAAAAGATAAAAAGTAAAGGCAACAAGACAAAAATAGAGAGACAAAAGTTTTCTCGTATATAGCTTGAAATTTTCCTTGACAAACATACACAAAAGAAAAAATAAATTGTATCCATATGAGAAGAAAAGACACATTTAAATATGAATGCATTTGAAAAAATTATTTTATTGTGGTGGTTAGTAAAAAAAATTATAAAGGCCACTTTAATAAAATAAAATAATTAGAAAAAATAATGTAATTGGGGATATATTTGAAACAATTTATTGCAATAGAGATAAATTAGAATAAAAATATTTCATTTATACGTATTTCAAGATATATGATTTTAGGAGGGAGAGAGAGAGAGAGAGAAATAAACGGGGGGGCGGGGGTGAAGAATAAGACAAAATAACTTGACTAAAATTTTGAATAGTGTACAAAGGGAACCCCATTTGTAATATAGTTATAGATCTATATAATTAGAAGAATATAATTTAATATTAGGGATATATTTGAAATAAATTATTTGAACATGGATAAATTAGAATAAAAATATGTCAATTATATGTATTTGAAGATATATGATTTTAAGTTTAGAAATTAAAAAAAAAAGAAAGAAAAAAAAAGAGAAGGACAAACTAAGAAAAGTTTAAAAAAAAAAAATAGAATAAGACAAAATAAGGATAAGACAAAATGACTTGATTAAAATTTTGAATAGTGCAAAAGAAAACTCCCATTTATAATAGATTATAAATAACATGTTATAAATTAGGTTAACTTTCACGTGGTCATACCCTAATTCATCTAATTAACGATTTTTCATCGTGAACATTACTATTATTGAGCAACTAATTTCCTCCTACTAGAAAGGGAGGAAAATTCTAATCTTAGCAACATGAATGAGATAGTAAAAAGAACAAGGTTGAATGTAGACTATACACAATTAAAAAAATATGTATGACTACCATTGTCGATAATTAATAATTAGTGATAAAACAATCCATGACTTGGCCATGCAATATAAAACAAATTTAGTTTGAACTAGCCTTTCATTCCTTTACTAACTAGACTAGCATCCGTTATTGCGCTCTCTTTATGATCTTTGGATTCTTTCTTTGTTTGTTTAAGGAGAATTGCCAAGGGGTTATTATTCTTTTGGACTTGACTCTTCCTTTGTGTTGAAGTATATGCATACGTATTATTGATCTGATAATTACCATGACCCCTTTTAGATTTTTTTGAATTATGATAATTCCTTCCAATGGAGCTTCTCCACGAACAAGTCGTGGTTAAATTTAATCTCTTTTTGAGTTTTGTTTTGTTTTACACGTCTTCTCTATATTGTGTGGTCATGCAACCGTGGTGCGATTTATATGTCTCGTAAAAGTTGGTCGGTATCTAGAATGTGAAAGTGATCAAATAATTTGAACTTTTTCTGTATTAAGATGTTACTCTTTTGGATCCATTTTTTCTTCAGAGGTACTTCCAAGGAATGTTTAATTTGATTTCTACTTTTTTTTTTTTTTGTTCCTTTCATTTTTTCCGATTTTGGTTAAGCAAGAGATTACACGAAAATCAGTTAAACTAAAGCAACCGACATCCGTCTTGGCAAGAAATTAATGAAAAATAAGATGTTTATAGATACTATAAATATATATACATCGAGTATAATGTGTGTGTGTGTGTGTGTGTGTGTGATGTATAACGACCGTAAAAGAAGTCATGATCATGAACGGGTTCGTCACATGGTGAATCTCAAAAAAGCGCACATACGCAAATCCATTGAATATAGTAAGAGCGTTCTAACTAAATCAGCCCAAAGCTGCATTGAAAATATTTTCATCTTTTCTAATCACTTTAATTATGAAATAAGCTTAAAATACGATTGGTTACCTTTTGAACTGTCAACCAATTATCTCTACGTCGCTATCTAATCCTCGCATGGCGTCTTCATCAAACATGAAAAAGAGAGAGAGAGAAAAGAAAGAAAATAGTTAATTTCTACTGGCAATGATTCAACCCCAATCATAAAATTACATTTTTGGTCTGAACTTATCTCAATTAGTAAACTTTTTCGTTAGTTTTTAATTTTGTTAAATTACTCTCTTAACTTATTTAGTGTTATAAAATGCTCCTAATAAATTTGAATTGAAATACATAAGCATGTTATATAAGCTCATTTGGAGTGCTACATATAAAATTTTACAAGGGCGCATTTACATATACACATGTAAAGATTTCATTAAATTCGTAGATAATTTTCTAAAACTAAAAGTTTAGGCGATAAATTGTGAAGGGACAACTAATAAATATATATATATATAATTTGACAAAGACGAATAGTACGGTCATATATACAAACGTTTAAATTATTAAATAACACTTACATATACACTACTTTTTGAGCCTTTCAGCCTGATCAACAGAAGATCACCATGAAGTACAGTCGTCAATATCACAAATCAAATCCTTTTATTCATTTTCTAGATGCCATTCTACGCCATGCACTAACTGGCCGTGGCCGGTCATGAAAATTAGGTGAGCTGCCAAGTGCCAAACTTTTTCCTGATCATGAGCCCCACTCTATCTATCATTCTATCTATAAATGATCCCTTTCAGCTTCACCCTTGTATAATTTCAACTCAATCCTACGTACTCCCGTCGACCCTTTCAACCTATTTTCAAATTATGATGAAGCAAATCATGGCTTCTTCGTCTTCTTCTTCGAATATAGTTCTTACGACCACTTTGGCTATTGTTCTTGTCATCTTTACAGGAAGCTGTTCTGCTCAACTTTATCCCGGTTTCTATCATAAGAGCTGCCCTAAGGTCTTTGCTACTGTAAAATCTGTTGTCAAAACTGCTATCTCGAAAGAAAACCGTATCGGTGCTTCTCTGCTTCGACTTCACTTTCATGACTGTTTCGTCAACGTACGTGAGTTTTATTATTTGATTTGTGTATTTTTTGAAAATATATATTTGTCGTTGTCCATATATTAGGAACTTAAGGGTGCCTTTGAAATTGATTTTTAATTATTATTAAAAATATTTTTACACGTCTTTTGAGGTATGAAAATGACTCAGTTTACAAATTGTGTTTATTTAGTAAATGTTTTAAAAATGAAAATAAAAATAAAAAACAGTGAGAATGGTTTTTGCTAAGGAATTAGAAAACGATTAAAAATTATTTTTCTTTTTTTGTTTTCATTTTTTAGTACTTATCAACAATGTTATAATATATTAATTAATAATTATAACCAAACACGATTTTACTTTTTTATTATACTCAAAATAATCTCTTAAAAAATCAACCAAATGCAATTTCAGAGTCGGTCTTAGAATGATTCTCAAAAAATCTCATTTTTACTTTTGTATTGAAAACAAAATCATTTTGAAAGCGTTACCAAATGGACCCTAAGTTTCTAAGTTTAAATTATTGTCTCATGGTCGAGTGAAACCAAGGTTCCCATCAGCCGGGGCGTGCAATGAAATATTCCATTCATACAAGACAGTGAGGTCCCCCTTCATGTCTCTTGAGGCTTTGTGAAATTATCTAAATTAATCAGTAATTTAAATCTAATCTAATCTCATATAACTAAATAAAAGGAGCGAAAGTGTTTCACCATTTCTAATCTAATTATATAAAAAGAGCGAGCTGCAAGTTCCAATTTTTATTCAAAATTTTTTTAACTTATTTCTCATAATGAGCTCATATAAGTACATGTATAAAAATATTATGTCTAAATTTTAACTGTCGTCATCAATTGGTGGTATACTCTTTAACACTTTGTTAGGTTTAAAGTATTACAAAATTTAAAAGTTAACTTGCCAATTGTGAAAATTTCAAGGAGCAAAGGTGTTATATATCCTTGTTATATTGCCACAATGATAATTTTTCATAGTACAAATGCATGTGACCATTACGTGCATATAAATTCGTTTTTGATTAGTGATATGGTAGGGCGCCATTTTTTGTTACTCAAAATTTTCAAAAACTAGTTCTTTTTTCTTAGTTTGAGGATGTGGAATTTGACCTCTACACCTCACCATGTATTATTAAGGTGTAGAACTATGACGCTAAACAACGGGTGCAACCACAATCTGTGGCGTTGTTTTTTGCATGTAATTTTTGACCTTTAAGACATCTTAGTTTCAAACAATAATCCACCGTTTTTCTACCCAAGTGTACTCAACATAAGTGGGCCGACGTTGATTTGATATCACAACAGAAAAATGTGGAAGCCAGATAAAAAGAACTTGATAGAAAGCTCTACGTACGAGTAATCAATTATAGTCATGGTTTTGGCGTGGCAGTTTGGGAGTGGTTCTTGCATTGACCGTATAATAATCTTAATAGCATGCCTTACTATACAATTTTTGGCTTGATACAAGCAAGTCAATCTCTTTTAGAAGTAGTTTTAACATGTTTTCAACGACAACATGTGCTCTAGAGCCAATGGAAATTGATTGTTTACTGCTGGGTACTAGGGCAAAACAGTTTTACTTGATGACTAGCTAGAACTGTTTTGGGTTTTAAGAAAGCAATCATACACTTGAAAAACTAGAACAAAATATAAAATAATTAATAAATTTGAGTTGATTTGCTAATTATCCACTCTTCTCTATTTGAAGATTGATGAGATAAATTCGAACTTAGAATTAGTCTCCTTATCAGAAAGTAATTAGCAGACTAATTGGCCATCGACATGACTACTAAAAATTAAGTGTTTTTATAGGGTAATACTACATATATTAATATTGGTTCTTATATCCTAGTACATTTTGTCTCATGCTTGATAAACGACAGGGTTGCGATGGGTCAATACTGCTGGACGACACTTCTTCTTTCAGAGGTGAGAAGACGGCAGGCCCTAACAACAACTCTGCTAGGGGATTTGGCGTTGTGGATAAGATAAAGGCCGAAGTGGAGCAAGTATGTCCCGGCGTTGTTTCTTGCGCTGATATTTTAGCCATTGCTGCTCGTGACTCTGTTGCAATTGTAAGTCTTTGATTAATTTTCATATCAGTTATCCTCTCTCATCATTTATAAGGAAAAAAAAAAAAAATAGTACACAACACGCATAGACTAATATAATTAATTATATAAACCAAGTGGAACAAATTAATAATTTGTAACCAAATATTATCTTTGTATAAGATATAGTGGGACATGTTAATAATTTGTACGTTACATATGTATATGTAGCTTGGAGGACCCTATTATGAAGTTAAAGTTGGAAGAAGGGATTCAAAGACAGCAAGCTTTTCTGCCGCCAATAGTGGAGTCATCCCTCCTCCCACTTCCACCCTCAGCAACCTCATAAATAGATTCAAAAACAGAGGTCTTTCTGCCTTGGACATGGTTGCCTTATCCGGTAACTTATATTATAATTTAATTTCCCTCTTTATAATAATTGTCTTTTTTAAGTCCTTGAAATTTTGGTATTTTAGTATAGGCCATCCAATTACTTATTATTGTTATTATTATAGTTTTTGAATTTGACATGAAGAATTTACACTTTAATAATTCAAAGTAGAGTTACAAATAATTATTATTATTAATGGATTTCCGTATTGGTGAACTTATCATCACTAATAATGCGCGCAGGAGGCCACACAATTGGAAAAGCTAGGTGCAGAGTGTTCAGAAAGAGGATATACAATGAGACCAATATTGATAGTTCATTTGCCAAGGCTAGGCAGAGCAAGTGCCCAAGAAATGCACCCTCAGGGGATAACAACGTAGCAGATCTGGATGTGGCAACTCCCAACTCATTTGACAATCACTACTTCGTAAACCTTGTTAACAAAAAGGGTCTCCTTCACTCGGATCAAATCTTGTTCAACGGCGGATCCACCGATTCCTTGGTTAAACACTACAACGAAAACCCTAAGAAATTTCATTCCGATTTTGTCACTGCCATCATCAAGATGGGAGATATCGACCCGCTCACCGGATCAAAGGGTGAAATTAGGAAGCATTGTGCTAGGGCCAACTAAATACCTATGTGTGTTGAGATCATATTGATTAATTAATTAATTGTCGAGTATCAAGTGTTTGAATGTGGGTTTGGTTCACTTTTTCGTTTTCTTTTTCTTTTCTTTTCTTGGGGATTCTGTTGGCAAGGAATAAAGCTTGTTTTGTGATTTGCATAAGAATTTCATGATGGTATTTTTACTCTGTATTTTTCTGTTACTTATTTTTCTTTGCATAAGAATTTCGGCTTCTAAAACTATTTACATATAGCTTTTTAAACATCTAGTCAAAATTCCACATGTGCCAATTACATTGCATCAAACAAGGAAAAAAAAAATGCATATGTATTATTCACTTTGAATAGATGAACCAACTGCTCTAGGTGCAAACTTTAATTAAACGTATCTAGTTTCTTCGCCTCTCTATCTTTTGTTTTGTTTTGCCTTAATTTATCTTGCTAAGTCAGTAAAAGTCGAAAATTTTATTTACTCATGATTTTTTATTTTTTATTTTTTTTAAAGGATTTACTCATGGTTATCTGTCAATTGAACTGCGGTTTTTTTTTCCCCCCTTTCTTTATCAATTAATGAACTGCTCTAGCTGTTGTTTATCACACCAACAATGTCATAGAAGGGGGAAAAACCACCCAAAAACAAAAAACAAAAAAGTTGTTACACGCTGGTCCAACCGTCTAAAACATAGAAACATATTCACACAGCGCAAATACGGCCCAGCCCGACAGAATGTGCATGGAAAAATTGTTTGGTTTGTAGGTTTGGATATGAAGTTTAAATAGAAATTCAAGTTTAACTGACTGATTTGAGTTTTTAATTCAAGCTGAAATATAAAAGTTTATGTGAGAGTATTTAACTGTAGTAAAAAAAATTAGATGTATCTATTTGTTAGAGTTTTCAATTGAAGTAAAATTAAAATTGAAAATTCGAATCATAAAATGAATGAGGTTTTAAGTTTTTATGAGAGGTTTTGAGCTGTAAACTTATGAATTTTTCACCAAATTCGGTTACTTTATAGTTAATTGACATGTGAGCTTTCTGAAGCAGTCAAGCTTTGACATATAAAGCTTTAAACCAGACTTTCCTAATTAGTTTGCTGCTGCATTTCTAATCCAATATTAAGTGGAAAAAAGGGACTTTTTTATCTGAATGGAAAAAAAAAAGGGACTTCATACAATATCTTGATTTCTTGGAATTTCTAAGTTTATGGACTTCCAAATTGAAAATCTTGTATATTCAAAACCGAAGTTAAATTATGTACAATTTAAAGTTGGGCATTCCTTTAAACCAAATTGAAAATCTTGTATATTCAAAACCGAAGTTAAATTATGTACAATTTAAAAGTTGGGCATTCCTTTAAACAAAAAAGTTATATATATAACAAATTAAAGAAGAAGCTTTTGGTAGTGTGTGTGTGTGTGTGTATTGCTTGATATATGAAATAAATAGTTGATTCTAAGTGTATGGGTTTGTTAGTTCCCGGACAATTATGAATATCCCAACTCTGAAACAATATCATGATTTTGATCCACGAAAACGTGTCTGACTAAAAAACTAAACCTCGTAGAGGTAGATTTCGTTGCTCAGCTGTCAAGAAGACAAGTTGTGTATTATTTACCTACCTAAACCAAACTAATATGTACATATTCGTATCTAACCGCTTGAATATATATGAAGTCGAAAATTGTGACTGGAAAATAATAATATAATCTCAAGGGCCCAACGCATCTAAAGTTAAATTCAAGATTTTGTGTAAAAAAAAAAAATAATAATAATAAATAAACAAGTAAATAGATACACAAAGGACTGGCTCAGAAAATTCCAGAAACTAACTAATCTGTTGCTTTAATTTTGAACAAAGTTTTTTAATAATTAATTCATGAGATGATGTACTTAATAATTAATTTCTTCTATAGATCGTACTCTAGTCTATAGATTGACTTATACGCATGTGACATCGTATTAATGAAAAGTAATGAATTTTCCATTCATTAAACAACATCTGCAAGCCTTTCAATATAAATAAATAAATAAACAACATCTGCAAGAGGATATTTTTAATTAATACAAAGTGATTAATATTGTCTACTCAAATTGCAAATCCAGTCCATGTGCAAACTCTAGTTGATTAATTTGTTGAACCAAACTGGTTATATATGAAAAGGGCAGTAATTAAATCAATTGCATATACATCTAGGAAACTGCATGGATTCAATAATTTGGATGTTGACTTCAATACATCTAAAAAGAGTTTTCTAATGCAACATAAATGCAGCAATAGTCAAAGCTATAATTGAAAGATTATCTAATGCAACATAAAGAATCGATATTGCATGTCCAATATGTAAAAGTTGAGGTACAACAATACGTTTATTATATATATTTATGAGTATATGGCTTTAAAATAATGTAAATATATAACTGGTCCAGAATAAAAGAATTTCCTGTTACTATATCTCAATCAATTTTTACATGTTACATACTTGTGCGAATGCTTTGTTACACTATAAATATATATATATATATATATATTAAACTGTCGCTTGGAAGGAAACGTAAAAATAATTATTATTAAATCGATAATAAATGCATGAAGTCGTCCCATTAGAACTAGATGTTCAAAATTACTAACTTTTAAGATTTGTTGCTTAACTAGTTCTCTGTGATCTTGTCAGGAGATTGAAATGATAGATCATAGATGTGGGGCTTTGGGAAGACCAGATATCGGACAAGTGTAAATTAATTAGAAGATCAAATTTTTATAGGTTTTTGAAAAATTAGGATGATTAGTTAATTATTAGAGCATATTCGATCTCTCATGCTCAGGTTGAGCTCCACACGCCAAGGAAACTAAAAACTTTCAATATATGTAACATAACTGCTTGGCATGCCATTGACTGATTCTGAATTAGATATGTATAGGAACTTTGATTAAGTTGAAATTTCGAAAAGATTGATGCAGCAAGGAAAAACCATTTTGGCCGGACTATGAGAATTTTATTGTAAGTTACGTCAGTAGAGTTCTATTTTAAACTGTTAAATTTGTATTAAATTCTTTTAATTTTAAATTATTTTTTTACTTCATGGGATTTTAACGAGATCTAATATTCAAAATAGCTCCTAATAATTCATAACAATGGGATCATTATCAAAAAGAAAATTGGTTTGATGAAGTAATTAAAACAGTATCAATTAATGTAAGTTCTTGTTTCGTTGGAGAAATGGATCATGCTCACCATGTACGTGTACGCATCATAATGTTTTGGTGTACAAGCTACAATGTGAAAACTGCAGCAATAATACGCAATAATATATAGACAAATCTCAACTATTCATAAACTACTACATTGGGTTGTGTGTGTATATATATAAAGGTCGTGAATAATATATAGGTGTTGCATATGACTTTTACATGGGGAGAATCACAACCACCCACCATGCCCTTTGTCTCCCCCAAAATAATTTAATAAGGTTTCAGGGCGTTAATTTCTTCCAAATCTCGTAACTATAGCACAAACTAACATGCATACATACATGGCCGATTCAAATTCGAAAAAAATATATACATATATATAACATATATATTCCCCACACGTGGACTGCTCAGTTGTGCCGGATTGTCTGCGTGTGAACCCCACTGAAACCTGGATTTCTTGGCTAGCTAGCATAATTTGGAATCCACAGGATTGTATTAAGGTACTTCGATTTCTAGTAAAAACAAAATGACAAAAAATAAGAAGAATCATGTTCTTAAAAGGTAAATTTTTTTTTTTTTTTCAATAACTCTAGCTGGAATATGTAAAAATTGAAGAACCATGCATCTTTGTTTTTCTTTTGCCTTCGTGGTTTTTGCCTGTTAATTTGGTGGTATTTTAATCATTAAGCATGTCATGTATTTTACTTTTTATTACTAAAATTTGAGTGGGTGAATTGCCAATCTAATTGAGATGTTTTTTTTTTTTCACTCTGGTATCAGTTATCTTCCCTCGTCATTTATTGAAAAAAAAAAAATACAGTAGACATCTTGTATAAGGCCTAGCTCATCAAGCTTAAGAAATTTCTCAGAGATTAATAATGACCTTATATAGTTTGCTGAAGATAAAACAAGCTTGCAGAAATGACCAGGAAACTGTAACCGAACAACAAATCGATCAACCCTCGAAAATAAAAATGTCACAAAAATTAAGCAAGCGCTTGAAGTAATACATATCAAAATTAATTATGTAGCACGCGTGCAACTACAACTACAATTTCAATCAAAATAGGGGACATTATCTGTACTAGAAATGGAGCTATAGCCTGTCGTATTTGTGGAGGGCGT